AACACTTTATTTCAAGTGTTAGGAGTGACCCGGGTAGTATCTAAGGATGTGTGGGGCCTAGATAAGGAGCTTACTCTTCAAGAGTAAGTCCTTAGAGGTGTTTACGGTTCAAAGACCATATCCCCATGATTTTACAGTCATAAACTCATGGATGGTATGCTTTTGTATGTTTAAAGGTCTTACAATGCACAAAGGAAGGTTCTAGGATTGATTCCATGGCTTAGGAAGTGATCGGGACTTGAATTGACCTTGGAAAAGGAGTTTACGGTTCTTGAATGACACTTGGGAAGTTTACTACCATAAACACATGAGTTTACGGCCGTAAAATCATGTTTGTCCTTGAATCATGTGTTTTGGTGGTTGATGGTTAAGCATACAAGGTTCTAGACCCAAATCTAAGTCATACAATGTGTTAAGGGCACTTAAACACCCCTTTGATGGTGTTTACGGTTTTGGGAGACCTTCCCAAACCATAAACTCAAGTGTGACCCATATGTGTATGTTTTGGTGCATCTCATGAAGGATTATAAGGTTCTAGACACTCATGGAAGCTTTTGGAGGTGTTAAAGGGGCAATTTAACACCTTAAAAGGTGTTTATGGTCCTTGAAGATGTGTTTACGATCCAAGAATGTTCTTGGGCTGTAAAAATCATGTTCACTACCCAAATGATGTGATTTTGGTGTTTAAATCTCGTACATGCAATTCCTTAAGCCATATCTAAGCACTAGAAGGGACTTGGAAGGGTTTTGGGGCTTCAAAACCCCTTTAAGGGAGTTTACGGTTTTGGGAGATGTTCCCAAACCGTAAACAATTGTTCTTGAGTGTTTTGGGTTATTTAAACATAGATTTGCAAACTAAACAAGTTAAACAACAAGTTAGGGTAGATTACTTACGATTTTGGGAGACCTTCCCAAACCATAAACTCAAGTGTGACCCATATGTGTATGTTTTGGTGCATCTCATGAAGGAGTATAAGGTTCTAGACACTCATGGAAGCTTTTGGAGGTGTTAAAGGGGCAATTTAACACCTTAAAAGGTGTTTATGGTCCTTGAAGATGTGTTTACGGTCCAAGAATGTTCTTGGGCTGTAAAATAATGTTCACTACCCAAATGATGTGATTTTGGTGTTTAAATCTCGTACATGCAAGTCCTTAAGCCATATCTAAGCACTAGAAGGGACTTGGAAGGGTTTTGGGGCTTCAAAACCCCTTTAAGGGAGTTTACGGTTTTGGGAGATGTTCCCAAACTGTAAACAATTGTTCTTGAGTGTTTTGGGTTATTTAAACATAGATTTGCAAACTAAACAAGTTAAACAACAAGTTAGGGTAGATTGCTTACGATTTTGGAAGCTTGAAGAGGTGTTTTTGGATCAAACTCGAGTTTTAGAGAGAGAGTAGAGAGAGAAAGTTATGAGGGTGGGTAAAAGTCTCCAAAAGATGACCACTTAACCTTTATATAGGGGTTGGGTTTGTGGTTAAGTGGGAATCTACCGAATATTGACGTTAAACGGGGTTTAAAATTTTACCCGATTAAATTGTTGTAATCCGACTTAGTCGTAATTAAAAATTTTCCCAAATAATTATTGGGGTACTTTACGCGTTTCTAATGGGTTTGGACACTCATGAGTTCATAATAAAAAGTCCCACTTTAATTAATTTAAACCAGAAGTTAACAGAAAATTTGGAATTCTAAGTGTTTTAGTAACGGAAACGGGTTACAATGACGAAATAAATTACGGGTTGTCACAGAGCGGATGTCAGGACATGTAAATCTCGATGTGTTTTGTTTGTTGATGGCATACTAGATTGGTAGAGAACTAACTAGTATTGACGTTGTCACATTAGACAATTATAGTGGTGATAGGCGGATAAAGAAGTTCATGAAGCAGGTTGTGAAGCTAGGATGTTTCAACAATGATGATGGGGACATTGCAAAATTCACCTTTAACACTCCATCTGGAAATTATACCTTAACATTTAATGGGAAAAGAAATAATATTATGGCTAAGTAACACAAATTATCCTGATGTACACCGTCTATTAGTAGGACAAGTTAACATTTGAATAAGCAAATAATTCATGAAATGGAGACACCTAGAGTTGGATATAATGCTTTATAAGAAGGGAACATAGAATTTCTTCATGTCGGTTTGAAGCGGGCATAGTGAATCTTACTGACCCAAAAATGGTAAGGATCACAAACGAAGAGATTAAAGTGATTTGAGCCAATATGAAACATGCTCAAGCTTGACAAAGAAGTTATGTTGAATTGAAGAAATACATTTCGATGTGAATGTTAGGTATTTAGGGGATTTGGTGATATTAAAGATATCATTGTGGAAGGCGTGACAAGATTTGGTAAGAAGGAAAAAACGAGTCTGATGTATATTGGAGCGTTAAAATGTTGAAAAAGATTGGATCATAAACGTTCAAGCTTGATTTACCTTTGAAAATTGATAGAGTTCACGATGTATTCCACGTATTCTACTTAAAAAAGTATCTTGGAAAATACGAGTAATATACAATAGGAACGCGACACATAAAGAGATTATGTGATGAATTCAAAAGTATGATGCTATATTATAACAATGAAGAACATGACACACAATGTTAGGGGTATGCGACACGTAATGGCCTATATAATGTATACGGTAAATTACAATCGTATATATAAAAATAGGCATCGTACTAAGTAAAACGCGACTTGTAATAAGGGTATTACATGAATCGTTCAAAATGTAATATTGAAAAATCCGACACGATGTGTATGTTGGGTGATGCGTCGCTATAAAGAAAATATGGCACATCCATGTGGGTTACACGTTGAGTACCCGATGACATGATAAGATCCTTATTAGGGTTGAAATCGGTACATTCACCTCTTTTCTCAATCCTAACTCTCATGGGGTGAATTTGAGAGTTTTGAAGTACGAGATCCATAAAGGTACAAGGAGGAGCTCGTCAAGAAGAAGGATTAAGTCTCTATTAATTGGATTAAAGGTCTTTGCAAAGAGGTTGGTCAAGTGAATCTAAAGAAGGCTTGAAGCGAAAGTAATAGTTAGTTTTCAATAACTTGTAAGGTGAGTTATATGGAGCTTTTCTTAGGGATACAAAACTTAATTTATTAAGAACTATGCTTAAAGATACTCTTTATAATATTAAGTAATGTTTGTGCTTATGTGAAATTAAAATATCATAAGATTGTGATATAAATTCCTACTAAATGTTTTAAGGAGTAAGTGTTGATTTTGAGAAATTATTTATGATATGCATGTGGATTATAATACTTGTGATTATAAAGACACTATTTGTAGTGTGTTTGAATAGAGTATTAAGAATGAAATCAAGAACTGAAAGTGTTAAGATCAAAGATGTAAATATAATCCGTTTGGCTCTTTGATTACATTTGAAATAGTATAGTACTACAGAAGACTATAAGCACTCAGGCTCTCAAAAGTTCTCAAAAAGTTACTCTTGACTCCTATGCTTACCTTATTTATAGGGTGATATAGACGCTTACAAAAAATACATAAGGACTTGATGTGTAAGCTTCGACCTCTAAAGATGCCTTACGTAATACATACATTCTAAATACAACACATTGACTTCGACACTACCTAGGCCTAAATGTACTTCGATACCTCACTATATACTTCAAACCTTACCATCTCCCCTTTAGTGAGAAGTGTCGAACTTAACTAGTCATCATCTTCATGTCCTGGTGAAGTACCTGACGAACCTCCATATATCAAATGATCGTTTTTTTGTATTTCAACTTTATCTTCTGCAAAATTCTTCTTACAATTGCCAAGACGAACCAGAAGACTTCTATACTGAGAGTTCGTGTACCTCTCCACATCACAAACTTGAAACATAAATTTGGTCATCTTTCCATTATTATTCTTTCTGATAAACACAACTCCTAAAGGTTTATGAATAATCTCCCCGTCAACATTGTCTTTAAGACTAACCTGCCCTTTAAGCAATTATTGAGGAAATGAAAACTTTGATACGTGCAAATCCAATAAAAAATCATCTTTGTTGTTCTCCTGAAGCTTGACACATCCAGAGGTCTTAGAATCTTCATTACATTGATAGGATCATTTTAGTTCATCAGAGGAAAATCGGCCACAGAGAAGTTACATGCAACATTGTTTGCTTGGACCATAGAGTATCGAAAATTCTGCAACAGACCTTTGAAAAGACTTTCCCATGAAATGTTTAAAATTTGAATGATTTTAATTGAAGTCCAAAATTCTTCCTCCTTCATTCCCAAAACCGCACGGAATCGCATCTTCAATTTCTTATATTCATGTTTTTCTTCGAACCTATCAACCAGCTGATACTGAGTAGAAATGAACATCATTTGATTGATCGAAAGATCCAACTGATTGTAGTCAGAATTTTTAATACCGTAGGTCCTGTTTCGAAATTTTCTGAAATCATGTTTCTTTCCAGATGAAAAAACTTGTTTGATCATTTCATAACACCAATGTTTGTTTGGATCTCCTTTGTTTAAGCTAGGAGGATCATTTTGTCTTTGATTCAGTATGTTGTTTGTTTGTCGTTGCTTCTTTATTTCTGTCTCCACGTTTCTCTTTTTCTCTTATTCTGAAAACACCATCTCAATTCCCTTCCCTTTATCACTTTTATCCTTTTTAGAAGGCGGAGGCTTCAAACTCAAACTCGAACCCCCAACAACTTCTCCAATAACTATTCCATTTTGTTATCGACCTCAAAACTATTGTAGTAGAAGTGGTTGTTATAGAAACAAGAAGTGATGTTGGAATTTGCGTTATCATCACCTTCCCTAACACTTCACCTTGATCAGGATCATTCGAAGTGCCAAACCCCTTATATCCCCCTTGCTCGACTTGTTTTAAATGTGGGGCACTCATTAGCATCAGAAGAACCAACTTAAGAAGAGGAGAAAGTTTGGCCTTGAGATTTATTTTAAGAGAAGAAATCATCTGCTATATACACTCTTCAGAAACAGTAGACTAATGAAGAAGATCAATCTTCAACACATACTCCTTCAAACTTTCCAGAAACTCCTCCAGTTTTTTAAACACCTTCAAATCTTGATCTGTATTAGTGTCAAGCTTGGGTGAGAATGAATTGTGATACACCACAAGCTTTGTGATCATATCAACAATAACATTCACCATTCCATGAAGAGTGGAGTAATTCTTCTTAAGCTTGTCAACCTTCTTCGGCATTTTTGACTTCAACTTATCAACTTTAAGATTTACAAACTCCTCAACCTTTTTGACCTGTTCTACAAAAATCGCATAATATTCCTTTGCAACATCATGAATTTTCGTAACCTCGTATTCAAAGCTTTGAGCATGATTCTTTAAACGCTCCTCATGTTGCTTCTCAATCTGTTGCATAGCCAGCTTTAAATGACTTTGTTGTGACTTGAGCATAACATCAACTTCAATTCCAGATACAAAATTTCAACCTCCTATATCAGCATAAATAGGTAACAAGGAATTCAATTTGTAAATGAGAATTTTGAACTGATTTCTTGACATGAGCATGTAATCAGGAATGTTTTCTTCTTTGGGATCAAACTCAATATCAGAAAAACAGACCATGACATCATCATCATCAGGTTCATAATCTTGAACTGTCTTTTCACCTTCAGTCGATTGAAAAGAGAAAATAGATGTGATAGATTAATGCATGATGTTTGAGAATGCCGGTGATATGGTAGAAACGGGTAATGAAGATGGAATTGGTGATGAAAAAGGTGGTAAAGAAGTTGAAGTATCAATGAATGAAGATTCTATGCTAGAAGATAGAATGAGTTTGGTAGCAATAGAAGAAGTTTCAATAAAAGATGTACATTGGGCTTCACGATGCTTCATCCCTTCACCCATGTTGACTTTTGTGTCCATATTAGATATGTGCACAGGCATGTATAAGGTTTGAACCTTCTCTCTAATAGACTCAGTCCTCAAAAACTTGGGTGGTATGATAACTGCCTTCGCAGGGATGGTAGAAGATGGAGATTGACCCAAATTAGTGGTTGTATCCGTATGAGATACGTGTACAGAGCCACGAAGACTTCCAGTATCCTCGAAAGTCAAATTAACCGCAGAGTCCCTCTGAGGTTTCTCGAAGCCAAAACTAGTGTCTTTATAACAAACAGGAATTCATTCGCTTCCACTGTCAAGATCTAATTTAACAACAACTTCATCTAAAGGATCAACCAATCGTCTCTTCTTCCTTTTGATATTCTTCACCATTTTATGTGCCTTGCGTTTCTTTAATGCTGGTGATACAGGAATGGACACATTACGAATACGTACAACCCTTCTAGTAAGTTGGGATTTATGTATTTTCTTTATCACCTTTGACCCAGAGACCTCTTTTGGTGAAGATAAAGGCTCAACAAGAACTTTCTCAATAATTGGTGGTTTAGGAGAGTGTCGAGGGCAATGAGCAGGATTCTTAATTCGTTTTAGAATACACATATTCGCCGAAACAATCTCCTTGGAAACTTCTTTACTAAAAATTTTCTTGAACTGACTTCGTAACTTCCTTATCTATTAACTCGGGAACAGATGGTTGTTGATCAGGTTTCTTTGGTTTCTTCGAAGTTTTCATAGCCTTCGATGTGACTTTAACCCCTTTGGGCAACAAAACACCAACTAGCATATTTGGGTTGAAAGTTGACAAATTTGTGAACAACGATGAGATTAGTAGGATCAATTTTAAGTAACATCACATCCGGAATTCTAGCCACAATTGGAAACAAACTGGGATCATCAATAACAATATTGGGAGTGTTCAACGTTGAGAATTCCTCCTTTGCATCTTCGGATGGTACCAAAATACCTTCTTTCTCATATACTTCCCCTAAAATCAAGCTCAGATACCTCATACACGATATAACATTCGTGACATTGGTATGATCAATCTTTGTTCCAAATTCTTCCCATAATTGAGTTGTATAATCGACATTCAGATCCTAGTAAAGACCTGTAATCATGGCATATACTTCCAACTTGGCTTTATGAAGCCTTGAACTACGGACACAAGAAAAAATAAGTCTTGAAAAAAATTACTTATTCCGATGAGCGGCGATTGATAACCCATCTCATTAAACATGTAAACAATTTTCTAAGTCATAACTTCATAAAACAGACTTGTATTTGGAATATTCAGGATTTGAGCAAACTGCCTCTTAATAAGCTTGTACAATTTGTCATTGGTTAGTTGGAACATCACCACTTTCAAAATCTTGTTGAACATTGTTGTAGATCCAGCTATAGATAAACATGTCATTGGTACTGAGAAAGAAGAAAACATAATCGTTGAAAGAACAAAGTTATTGAGAGCAACAATCAACATATGTAATCGTCCAGGATACTTCCTAACATCAGGATGAACACGAAAACTGGAACTTTGAATCTTCATCAATAGTTGAGATGTTTCTTTTTTAGTGGTTGTATTTGATGGATCAACATAACTAGTTGGTGTCGTCATTGTTAAGGATTGGGAGAAGTTTGTGGTAATACGATTATCATGAAAGAATATTTTGGGGAAAATTAGACTAGATTGCATAAAGTCTTCAATTAAATCCACCAAAATCCTTTTATAATCAACATAGATTTTGAATTTGAATTGTTCACCAATGAAAATATGCCACGTGTTGCTTTGTGTATGGGGTCGGTTTCTGGAATAGTCGCCATGTCAGAAAAAGTGATGATTATTTTTCCCAAAAAAACCCATCAAAGAACTAAACTGTCACATCCGTCGAACGTTTTATTTGCCACAATGAGATAAGAATCGTCACTTGACCTTCATTGTGTCACCATTACGCTTCATCACCAAGAGAACGTCTGACCTTCATTATGAGGTAAGGCTCATTCTCTTTCGGGATTACAGCTGAGTTAGGTTTTTTAAGGGTTCATTCTTTCAGATATGAGTTTGGTTTGGTATCCTTGAGCATATAGGTGCAAACTTTATGGGTATTATGTAGTCATGCATTCATTAAGTCAACCACTAAGTCCTTTTTAAGCTTAAGAGCTTCTTCTAGTCATGTATGAACGTAAAGTTGGCAACTTTACGTGGTATTCTAGCTCAAGGAGGTCAGATCCGTGGTTTGGAAAGCTTTGTCTTAATAGAATATGTGAAAATCATGTTAAGGCTGAATAGGGTGAGTACGCCTCCAAGCAAGTATGTTGCACATATGTGCTTGTACGCCCTGCGTACTTGGTCTGAGTGGATTTGTGTATTTGGTCTTTGGTTGGGGCTAACTTCTGGGATTGGTTGATCGGGCTTTATTGGGCCATCTAAGAATGTACGTTTTGGATTAGGGATAAGTAGTGAGCTTTAGGGTAAGGCCTAACTAAGGTTTTGGGCCTAATTTGGAAAATTGGGCCATAAGTGGGCTTTAGATGATTATTGGTTTTGTGGGCCTTTATGATTATGCTTTTGGGCTTTAGTCTTGGACCAAACTAGGTGAAGGGTAACACGGTCTTTTTACCCCATATATGGATTATTGTATTCGGTTTAAAACCCAATTGTTAATTAGGTGTTAATTGTTTGATATCACGGGGATTTTAGTTGATCAGCAAATAAAGAGTTATTCGTGGGTTCAGCTATTGAGGTGAGTCTTCTCACTATATCCATGGGTCGAAGGCACCAATGTCGATCTATCACGTGGTATGTGAAATGCTAGTTGTCTTTGTGACACTTTCATGGAAGACTATGGGGGAGCCCATGGCATTTCAAGTAAAGACCATGGGGGAGCCCATGACATTTAGATATCAGACCATGGGGGAGCCCATGGCATTCCAGATGAAGACCATGGGGGGAGACCATGGCAACTATATGTACGTTGCATGATATTCCATGGTTATATGTTATGTGGTCTTTTTAGGGAACTCGCTAAGCTTTGAGCTTACGACTTTAATTTTAAGTTTCAGGTACTCCGGTTTTCAAAGGGAAGGGCTCGAGATGCTTACAGAACAAACACCACATGTTTCCTCTTTCTGTGAATTAATCTGATTTGTCGATGTTTTGCTAAAACATAGTTACTTTGGATTTATTGGAAAGATATGTATTAACGATTTGTTAATCTAAAAAGAAAATTTTATGTCATGATTTTCGAGACGTTACAATACGGTGCCATGGTTCTAGGGACACCTAACTAGTACAAAGGTTAAAATGTGTATCTGTCCTGCTTTTGAGTATATTCCATTAAGCATTTGCCACCATAATATGTTAATACATCGAGACACATAACAATGTCAAACACATAATACAAAATGAAGAAAATCTTTTTGGAATTTTGTTTTTTAAATTAAAAGACAAAAATAAAGAAAATATTTTTGGAATTCTTTTTTGAAAGTAAAAGACAAAAATAAGAAAATCTTTTTAGAGTTTTTGATTTATGAGATTGAAATCAAAAACAATAAAATGTTACCAAAAATTCAATGTAAGAAGTATCTATTGCCAGCCAGTGTACATTGAACAACATTTCTTCCTAGATCGCGGAGGTTGATTTGAACCATTCAGAGGCATTTCGAAAGCGAAGGTAGTCGAATGTTGAATGGTGAACAGTAACCTCTGAATACTCTAGTAGTATGTCGACACCTATTGGTTTACGAAGATGATGAACCAGGAACTAAACTTGCATCAATCATTCCTAGACCATTTAAGATTCTTATGAACGAATTCTCATCCAAAGGTTTTGTGAAAATGTCTGCACGTTGATCTATTGTCTTGACAAAATGAATCTCGATATTTCCATCTTCGACGTGATCCTTGATAAAATGATATTGAAGTGCTACAAGCTTTGTATTTGAGTATTGAATCGGATTATGGCAGATGCATATTGCACTTTATGAATCACAATATAAAGGAATTTTCTTCATATTGATTGCGTAATCACGAATTTGGCTTTGAATCCATATGACCTGAGAAGTACAAGTTGTAGTAACTAATTACTCTGATACTGTTGTGGAAATTAAAACACATGTTTGTTTCTTCAATTGCCAGCTAACATGCTTCCCTTCCAAAAGTTGACATCCACTAGTTGTGATTTTTTTGTCAAGTTGATACCCACCAAGGTTTGCATCAGAAAACGTTTGTATAAAAAATCCAGTCTTCGAAGGGTACCACAAACCGAACGTTAAATTTCCTTTGAAATATCGAAAGTTGTTCTTCACTATTGTTAGATGGGGTTGCCTGAGATTCTACTAATACCTAGCACGATAGCAAACAACAAACATGATATCAGGTCTAGTAGTAGTTAAGTATAATAAAGAACCTATCATGCTTCTGTACAAAGTGAGATCCACAACAGGCTTATCCAACGAAGGTCCTAAGCACATGCCGACTTCCATTGGTACTTTTAATGTTGAACTATTCGTCATGCCAAATTTCTCAAGTAAACTATGAGAGTACTTTT